TACCCCACTTTCGGCATCGATGAGCTCAACGCTGCCCAGAAGAGAATCGACCTCGCCAATGCATCAAATACTGCTCTTGTACCGCTATTCATGCCGTGCCTCAACCGCGCGGAATACATGGGCGGCGCTACTCTTGAGCACCTGTCGACCATGATCCGCGACGACATCATGATGTGGGCATTCTCCTTTGGCAATTACAGGGAATGGTTCAGACAGAATGACACGCCGATTGGTCAAGATTGCGTTCTCTTGCCTGAAGCTGGTTATGAAGGCATACGATACGGTATGGAGGAACTACGCAAGCAACGCTTCGAGAAAGAAGAAAGCCGTATCAACGCTCTTCTCAACAATCAGTTTGAGAACACTCTCGAGCAGCGCAATATGATCAGGAAGATCCGCGAAGCCAGAGGCCTCATGTTCCAAAGCGACAGCGCCTCCATCAAGAAGTGGCGCGAGTTGAACGAGACCATCTGGGAATACTGGGCCAATGATTTCCCATCATCCATAAAACACAGACACTACCACAGGGGACTCAATGCCATGGTAGTATGGAGCGCGAACGACATCGCATGTGCCAATCCTGGACAGAACACCATCGACATGCGCCGACATCACAGTCGTGCTCCTACCAACGTATACGAGCTCCAAAAGATGGAATGTGAGGGCGGCGTCCCGACGCTCATGCCCGTACACGTGCTCGTGGACGTATCACGTTTTGTCGACGTGATGCAGTATTTCCGCTGCCCCACGGTCATGGGACCTGGAAAAGCAGCGCAATGGGGCGCACACCCGAACTTTGATCACCACACGAGCGACTTGATCACTATCATGCAGAACCGTGGCCTCGCTGTTCTTCCATCCGACCATTGGGTGGATACGTGCGACAGGGTTACCCCGCAGGCTTGGCACGCCAAACAGAATAACCATAATATGGCAATGTTTACAACGCAATTCTGCGACGCAGTATGCTATCGCAATTTTTGCGCCTTGATACAGTCTCTTCCTTCTCAGCCATATCCATTCAGGCCGCCATTGCTGACTGCTGTCACGGACAACCAGGCCTACACGCAGGCCAAGAAATCATGGCAGCCCTCGATTTCAGAGAAAAGTTGACAAACGAATGGAAAAGAGACCTCAGCCTCACAACGTTGATGACACAGACGGCAAACGAGATGGCTCATTGTGCGTGGATGGCGTCATGTGCCGAGGGCACATTGCCGGCATCACTGCCTGCCGAGACAGGCGACACCACTGAGCCGACTCCTGGAATGTCGACACGTACGCCAGCACCTGACCCTGGCGATCCTGACCAAACCCTTCCTGATAATGATCCATGGGTTATTGCATACAACGACTTATTCCAGTACCTTATGCTGTTGATCAAAGAATACCCTGGGGCTTGGGCATCTTGGCATTCTCTTGAGAAAGATGAACTCCTACATCCCAAGATCGTCAAAACTGTTGAAGATGCACATGCAGTTACTTGGGTTGTATTCGAGCAATTCTTACATCAGATCAAAGATTTGGATGGAGATGATAATGCGACCAAATCAAGAATCATTGCAGAAGATAACAGATTGTCTTCTCACCGCATCGGCCCAGCTGCCGAGAACGAGAAGAACATCGAGGCATGCAAAACATTCTTCAAGCAGAATGCACTGGATCGAGTTGCTTTGGGTCATGACCCTGATGTTCCTACATCCGTATGGAAGGCAGCTGCTGACACAGCACAGCCAGCCCCACCAGGCCCATTGCCTGATCCACTGCAACCTGGACCGCAATCGATAAAAGCGTCGCAACCATCGACTCCAGAACCCAAAGCAGAACAACAATCAGCAGATCAGCTCCCAAAAGCTGAGGCGGTTCCGATCCCTGACGACGGCGCCGACCTTGAGGCAATGGAGCTGGAGGCAACTCCTGCCGAGGAGGAGCCTTCTCCACATGAGATGAATATAGTGTCATGGCAGGACAGCTGCGAGCGTTCCATGCACGAGGATACCAGCAAGATCGGGATCTTCGACAACTCATGCACTATTCGCGAATGGAAGCTACAAGCAGGCGTCAAATACGACCATCCATACATGTGCCCAATGTTGCGGGGCACGCGTGCGACCAATGGATTTGCCTGCATGGGAGACCAGGAGTGGTACGAGCAGCTACTGCATGATGATAGTGTGGTTGCTCATGCGCCTGACATTGCACAATCTGGTTGTTTCCCAGAGTGGAAATGGATACCATTACCACATTACGACGATGTACGTTATGGTCCCGAGCTAATTGAGGATGAATGGCTGGGGGTAAACAAATACATGAGCAAAAACAGCACGACCATGTTACGCCATGAGACTCACTACACATAGTTTTGGATCAACCAATTTCATGACAGACGTATTAATATCTGGGAGAAAACAACAAAAAATGATTGGAAGATTCCAAGCAATTGGAAATCCTTTAAAGAAATGGTCGAATGGAAATTCCGAGATCGCAAAGACAAACACAATGGACCATCCATGGAAGCGGCAGTGGCACATTTCAAGAAAGACGGCGAAAATGAAGGATACACCGATTGGAACGACTACTATCCGATATTCATTATTCGTGCGTTCCAGAAGCATATTGACCCGCAGAAAAACAGAATCGAGATACATGCCAAGCCGATCCCTGAAGGAGGTGACCCCAGCGCTTTTGACTGGAACAGCGTCATTGCTATTCGGTGCGTTGGTGGTCACAGTTGTGTCAACCCATCTTCCAAGCCATGGAATATGGGATGGGAGAGCCTACAGTGGGCAGATGTCAACTATCTCCATCATGGCACAGCATCCCGTGCCTGGAAGAACATATTGAAGACAGGGATCATTCCTGGATATGTTGAACCACATTCTCAGAGAGACAGAAATTATAAACCATCGCAGCGATCTGAGGCATTCTTTAGTTCTAGCACATTTTTGAACAATGTTCAAAAGAACCCACATACTTCAGTGGAGTCGTACAAGTTCAACAACTACAAGAACGAGGTCGAGCTGGTGATTAACATGGAAATCGCCACAAAAGCAGGTTGCAGATTTTGGTTGGGTGCTCAGGGCGCTATCATGACAGAGGACGTGGTACCCGCTGCGGCAATTATTGCAATTCGCCGCCTCAAACCACACCACATGCATGGCCAGCAGTTGTGGCCAGACGGCGACCCATGGGACTACCCGCCATTGGCAGCAAGAGAGCCATTGAGCAAGTACGAGATTTGCGCCTGCCTTCCTGGAGAACTCATCGACGACCCTCCTGGATTGGCACCTATCGACCCCGACCACAACATGGAGCCTCCAAGGACGACGCCAGCATCAGCACCCTCGGCCAGGCCGGGGGAAACCCCTGCTGGCCGTACATCCGCAGAGGACGCCTTGGATGAGCAAATAGTACGCGCTATGATTCAGGAGACCAATCACAAAGCAGATGATAAAGAATGGTTAATTGCATTGTCACATTGTCGCGAAGCTCTTCGACCAATCACACCAAAGATCATGCAAAAAGATTGGGATCGTCGCCCTGCATTTAACGATGTTCGAATGGGCGACTTCATTGTCGTTAAGAATTGGGGTTCTACCAAATGCTTTCACTACGACAACCACTGGCCCAAAGGCAATCACAATACCAAGATTGCCTTGTCCAAGGGACACATATATGGTCCAATCATCCATTTCGGCATCTTCGACAAGTTCTTTGCGGTACAAGTACCTATTCTCAACTACGGTTTACGGTGGGTAAATATCTGGTATAATGACAAAAGCATGCCCCTCAAGGGCGTCGTATTTGCATTACCGATTCGTATCGAAGAAAACGCCATCGATCCAACATGGATGGAGACTGCCCTGAAAGGCCCGACATCATGCAGCGAGGAGATACTACAGCACAAGGTTAGCGGCAGCTTACCATACCCTGGAATGCCTAGCATCCATAGACCACGTATTCCGCGTACACCACCAAGAAGGCCCGCTCCACGGACACCTGATCCAGACGAGCTGGTGGCCACACCTGCCGAGGACAACGCTCAGACGGGCGAAATTCCTCGACAGGGTGCAGCATCATCGCATGATCCACTGATCACCGTAATCGTGGACATATCAAATATCGCTCTTACTGCCGATGAGAAAGCTGCGAACGACAACATGAGAGCAGACCTCTCGGCAGACATCCAAGCAGAAGGGCAGATTGAGGCAAGCATCCTCGACAATATCATTGATCCGCCATCGAATTTCCTTGACCATCCAGATTACGACCCCGACGAGGATTCAAGATGGATTAAACAGTCTGATGATTGCCGCGTGTATTGTTGGACATCGGCGTTATTGGTGGATTCGCTTATGATCAAGATGAAGCAGATCATCGAGCTACACAGTGGCGCAGACAGAATCGTAATGGACAAAATTCAGTCACATGTACAATTTGAAATTCGATTTGGATCGAAAGCATGGAATGCGGAGTCATACCAATTGAACTACAATCATACCCACAAGTGGGCACGTGACTTACTTAATTGTGGTGCAGATCCTTTCTTCAAAAAGTTGGTACACTACCTCGACCCAGAGACTATCGAGGAGTCGACCACAGGCATCTTTCAATGGATTTCCAAAGTATACCAGAACATCTTGAAAGATAGTATTGCGGAGCTTCCAGATTTCGCCAAATAGGCCATCCATGAGAACCATCCTGCACTTCAGGCATTGCGTGACCTATTCAAAAATTGCACTGTGACATACGGTAATCCAGATTTTCCTGCATGGGAAGAGCTGGTGGAAACACCTGCTGCGCCTCGAGAGCAAGGCGCTGAGCAGGATATTCCCCAGGACCCAGGCAGTGTTGCGTCTGCAGCTCCCGATCAGGAAACTATGGTACGTATCATAGCCGAGCAGACGGGACTCAAGCGCGAGGAGGGCGACAACGAGGCTACCTTGCAGGAGCAGGCTCGCCGTCTTCGTGAGGAGAACGTATGCCATGGCGGTACTGAGGATACCGACAACATCAAGATAGAGTACAAAGGACTGCCAGGGGAAAGGTTGTCTCGGATCGAGATCGAGGGTTTAAGCAGATCGATCGCTTCCAGACCGAACACCGAGATCAATCGTGAGGCGATCAATCAGATCGGTCAGAGCCTCGCTCGCGGTCAGGACACCCGCTGGGGATCCCGCGATCACCTGACTTCGGCTGGGGCCCCCGAGACAATCTTGCATCCCATACCGCTCTGTCAGAATTGCGGTCGAGATCTGTCCCTCGGGATTGTCACAGGTGACGGCACACTTTGCGATATCTGTCGGCAATACACATTGGCCGTAGGCGCCACAGGCAAGAGCACCGCCACACAGAGCGATCTCGCGTACCTGCAGAAGTTGACGAACTGGATCAAGACGACGTTGTCTGAGGATCACATCGCGAGATACATGAAGGATGGCGCGCACGTCATTATGACGGGTGCACGATCGCACGTAGGCAACGAGAAAGATCAGTTGCGGAGATTGGCCAATGCGTCCAAAAAGAGGTATCAGAAGTGGGTCGAAGCCGGTAGCCCGCCTGCACACGAGTGCAGATTAATGGGCGAATCCGAGGACGACCGACCTCTGTACTACCCATTCGCCAATCTCATACAACGCTTTCTCAACGACCTCAAGTTCCATCATCAGATGACAGGTGCCCGCGTGAATGTCGGCAAGAAGCCCTGGACCGTCGAGGACATGCGCGACGCGTGGGACATCCTTGACGTCAGCATTAGGACAGGACAGGCTGGTCGGAGAAAGTGGTGGCTGAACGAGGGACGCATTGACAGGCAGACGCGGCAGGCGCGCGGACTGGTTACGGTTTCTCTCCCTCGAAGGGACGGAACCCGTGAACAGTTCACCCAGCGCAAGCTTGCCGCGATCGCCAACGAACTGATAGGCTCCCTCGATCCGTCACACACCGACCAGAGGGGGGTTAGTACAGGGATGAGAACCGATCCCGATACACAATCCCAACAGTCCGATGACGCCATGGAGCCGCGGCCGCCGCCGCGCCCGCCGCCGCGCCCTGCTCCTGGCGACGCTGCTGCGTCCAGCGCCTCAGGCGCGGAGGACTACACGCCCGCGATGCCGCGCGCCAAGAGAGCACGTACATCTGATTACGCTGCTTACTGGCGCCACGACCTCGAGGACAGCTACCGGGGTCTTCGATGCTGGAGTTACTACATCAAATGTTGGATCTACATTGCGATCAACAACGACGAGTATGTGTACATCCAGGATATCATGTACAACGATTGGTTCCGCAACTGGATCCCGAGGACAACTTGGGAAACGTTTACGACAAGCTACGTGACGTACAACGGCCAGAGGGTGTGGGACCGCAGGTTCTACAAGGACGGCGACGCGTAGTGAGTCGGCCGCAAGGCCCACCGCTCAAGAGCAGAACTTTCTTTCATCAAAGTTCGCCTTGGGCGGTGGCTAATATATTCTTTTAGGTCACTTCAATGATTCACATAAGTGGCCATACACAAATATACATATCTTTTGCGATCACCGAGGCAGCCTCCTAAGGAGCAACGCCAACGGGAGTCGCCAAACATATTTTTTTATACATCTTTTTCGTGTTCATCAACACGACATTTTGTCTGGCCAGACACTTGCTTTACACAGATTTGCGTTTCTTTTCAGGATCGTGTTCGTCAACACGATCTTAGCATACATTTGTTTTTAGGCAGACTTGTGTTTAATTTCAAGATTGTGTTCATCAGCGCGATCTTAGCATGCATATTTTAACAATTTGAACAATATTGCGTCGAGAATAATCTGCTGGCTGGTGGCAACACCTGCCTCGCAAATCTTGCGAGGCAGTTCGCATGTTACCTTAATGCTCAGATCTTCTTTCTCCGCCTACCCTTGTCTCATTCTTCTCCTCCCTCGAGCGCCGAAGCGTTTTTGGGGGGCGCACCGAGGGGGCGCCAAAGTGCGCCTGGAGAAGAAAGGGGGATTTAGGGCATCTCTTCTTACCTCACTTTGCAGCTGTGGCTTCGCTGATTTTAAGCCCCAGCTGCCTTTCTGACTTAAGGGCTAAAGGAGTTCAGAGGTTACGGATTCCTTTCCTCTGTTCCCGAGTCCTGCCTTAACGGGCGGGATTCGGGACGGGGGGTGTGAATGGAACCCGTGTAATACCTTCATATATACTCCTTATCCTTACCTCTCCCGCGCCTGGCCGTTTGGGCTCAGGTACTGAGTTGGAGCGATCGTACCTTGATCGCGTGGGAGGGAAAGATATCCATCTATCCCTCCATCTCTCTACCAACGGATCAGGGGTTCTGTACCCTTGTACTTCAACCCCATACACAGCCTGAGGCCCCGCCCGAGGGCCCCGCGCGATCCCGCCCGAGGCCCTGCCGAGCCCAGCGCCCCGCTGGGCTCGCCGCGGGTGCGCCGCCTGCTCGTCACGCGCGGCAGCGCCGAGGGCGCGGCTCCGCAGGCCCCCGCGGCGCCGGCGCCGCCCGGGCCCGGCGACGCGCCCGAGCAGCGCGCCCAGGGCGGCGCCCGGGGCGCCGCCGCGCCGAGGGCGAAGGCGTCGGCTGCGCGCAAGACCGTCGGAGGCGGAAGAGAGACCGATGCCGCTGCCCTTTGCCTCGTTTTCGCCTTTTTGCGCCTCCTGGGAGGCCCTCGTCGCCACCGCTGGATTCGCCTCGAAATCCTGGTCAGAACGCGCCCCGGGAGAGGTTCGGGGAGCGACGGCATCGGCAATTATTCTTTAGTGTCCCCAGTGAGAGTGGCCCTTCGCCGGAGTGACCTTGCGGGCTCACAGTGGTCCCCCAGCACTGGCCCGCGCGCTTGGATTTGGCCTACTCGCGGCCCCCTGCGGCCGCGCACCAAAGGTCACTCTTGCCTAGGGTCACTCTTTGTGTGCGCTCGAAGACGGGGCGCCTGCCCGCCCTGCTGGCGCAGCCCGGCGCCGAGCGGCTGCCGGCGGAGGGCCTCGACCTCGAGGTCCACAGGGGCCTCGTGGTCACGTTATCGGGGGGTGGTACGGTGAGGGGTTTTGGCTCAGCGTGTCGCGCCGCCGGTTCTTGCCCACCACGCTTCGGCGCGACACGCTATCTACGTCCTTGTCCCCGAGCGTCAAGGTCCCGAGCTGTTCCCAGCCTCCCGCCCCGCGGAGCGGAGCGACACGCTATCCGATCGCAGAGTCCCAGGGCAACGTTCATCGGCTGCAGATCCGAACCCTACCCTCGCCGATCGACGATCCAGGCAACTCGATGGGCGGCGGGGGTTGGGTTCGGAAACGTGGCGGAATTTACAACCCGACCACCACCTCTCATCGATTCAGGAAAATCAATGGCTGCTGGGGGTCGGGTTCGGACGTCGCCGCTTCTGGGCTCGTGGGGGGGCGCATCGACCCCCAATCGCCCATGGATCGCCGACAAGGGCCCTGCTAGCCCCAACCTGCCCAGGAGCGTGCGGGCTCGCTATCGGGGGCCCATGCTCGATGCTCGATCCATCGTCGGTGCATCGCCGCATCCGGCGCGCCCGCGCCGCCCGAGGCTCACATCGGACGAGTGCACGAAAAGCAGCGGCGGGCGTCGAGCCGCGGTTCGGCCGCGAGCGCGCCCCCAGGTGGAGGGCACGCGCGGCGGAGCGCCCTCGGGCGGCAAAGGCGCCGCGGAGCTCCCGAAGCTGAGCCTGCCGCAGAAGGCCCCGGGCGCGGTGCCGGGCGGCCAGGGCGCGCACGTCAAGTCCCACCGGGCCCTCCCGGCGCTGGGGCCGGTGGTGGGGAGGGGAAGCCCGCTGGTCGGTGGTCGGGAGACTCTCCATGGGATCCCCAGGGGATCCTATGGGATCCCCCCCCCTGGGATCCTATCCCCCCATGGGATCCCCCCCCATGAAGAGTCTCCCAAGGTGGCTCAGAGGAGGGGGTCCTGTTCGGCAGCAGATCATGGGAGTCTGGTGTGCCCTCTTCCTGTCGTCTCTAGCGTCGACTAGCGTCGATTCGCGTCTGGGAGTCGAGGAGATATAGCGCCGATTTGGCGTTGGTTAGCGTCGACTAGCGTCGATTTAGCGTCAGCGTCGATAGGGTCGATTCAGCGTCGATTAGCGTCGATTATCGTCGATTCGCAAGAGCCGAGGAGATGGCTTGGAAGGCTCCCATGAGTTGGGTCCTGAGGGATGGGGCCCAAGGATGGGAAGGGGAGCCAATGTGTGGTTTTAAGTCGTCTCAGGCACCTCGTCCTCGGGGCCCCATCCCTCAGGGCCCCATCTCAGGACCACCGGACCGGGATCGCCGTGGGGGTTGCTGAGGGATGGGGGAGGGTACCCATCGGTCGTTGAAAGTAGGTATTTTTGGATTCCCAGATTCCAATCTACTTTCAGCGCCTTCCTACTTCAATGATCGAGTGGCTTCACCTCTTCCGTCCTCTTTAGGGGGCGAGCGGACACCCAATCTACTTTCAACGCCTTCCTACTTCGTGTTTCTACGTACTTCTGCCGACCGATGGGTATGATTGTGGGTTGAAACTGCCCCCAACCGGTTGAGGGGGGTAGCTCCGCCAAGTGGGCGGAGCCCATTTAGCCCGGATCGCTGACCCCTGTACGCCATTTGGGGCATTCGCAATCCAGTGATAGGCCATGTGAGGCCATATATGGCCACCTTGGCATCCGCTTATAGCCCCCCTATCCCCTTAGCAAGTCCTGCGGTAATCCCACTAGGCCTCCTAGATGGGGTCCGAGTGGATGGGGTCGAAGGCTTCGGCTGCATCGGCGATGCATCGGCGATGCATCGGCGCTGCGGCGCGATCCTCTAACCCGATCTACTGAGGCCCCATTTGGGAGGCCTTCTTACGAACATCCATGAAACGCCGCCGTCCGCAATAATCGACGATCTGTTTTTTCAATCGGGGTGCAGTGCATCGATTTCGGCCTCAAGGGCTCGCCGCCAGCGGGCCCCAGGACCATCGCAAGGGAATGCAGGAGGAAAGAGCACCCCCGGGGAGGGGTCGGGCCCCCCGGGGCCGCGCACTGGAAGCAAAACAAGAGCATGGCGTCGGAGGATTGGGCCGGAAGCCCGCGGGCGCGATGCTCCCTGGTCTTGGTCAGAAGCCCTGGTGCTTGCCTCAGCAGCAGCATGAAGTCGGGCACGTCCCTCTACAGGAGGAAGGCTCAAACATGGTCCCAAAACGCCCCGGGGACGATGTGTTTAGCATCTTGCTGCTGTTTTGCTGTGTTGGCTCGCCGAAAATCCGCATGTTTGGTGATTGCTTCGCACTTGTGGATTCTCTGGCATGTGTTAATTCTTTCGCCCCAGGCCCGCCTGTATGGGGGACGTGCCCGACCTAACAGCAGCACGCTGGAGGGCTCCCCGCGGCGGCGCGCCGCCGATCCTGTGCTCTCTCGTGCTCCCCCCCGCAGGTGGCCGACCTGCCCAGGCCCCGGAGGGGGGCGAAACCCGCGCGACGGGCATTGGGCGTTGCGTAATGGAGGGGTCATAAATGGGGGGGTGGCGAGGGTGGTCCGAAAAGGTACCCAAACGGTACCTAAACGAGCCCCCTGGGGGTCCGGAGGGGCTCGAAAGGGGCACGAAAGGGGACCGTTTCTGACCCCCCCATTTATGACCCCCCCATGAAGCCACGCCCAAGGGCACAGAGTCGAGCACCATGTACAGTCGGGGCCTTGAAGAAGGAACGCTTTTCGCTGGGGAGGGGCTCGGTGTTCCCTCAGCGTTTCACAGCTTGCCTCAGGTTCCCCTGAGGTTTTCGAGGGGAGACCGACGTTCAACTTCTGGAGAACAGGGGCCTCGTTCCTTATTTAGGGTTCCTTAGGTCAACGCTTCGACGGTACACCGGAGAAAAACCCCAAGCAGTGGCTGGTTTTCGCTGAGGAGATCGCGACCGGGAGCCCGGGAGCCGGGGAGCCTCCTCCTCTTTCTCCTTCTCCTCCTCCTCCTCCTCCTCCTCCTCCTCCTCCTCCTCCTCCTCCTCCTCCTCCTCCTCCTCTTGCTCCTCCTCCTCCTCCTCCTCCTCCTGCTCCTCCTCCTCCATCTCCTCCTCCTCCTCCTCCTCCTCCTCCTCTCCTCCTCCTCCTCCCTCCTCCTTCTCCTTCTCCTTCCCAGAACCCACCGAAATCGGCCCGGAACCAACGAGAACCCGGGAGCCCGGGAACCGGGAACCCAGGAACCCAGCCTGCTACCAAAATCGACAGGGAATTTTCGCCAAATCTTCCAACTTCCGCGGGACCCCTTCAGTGCAAGCACTGATTGGGGAATCTGATTCATCAAAAAAAACACGGATTTCTTGGATCCGCGCTGGGCCCCCTTGGCGGCGCCTCCGGCGCCGCCCCTGGCGCTCTCCGCGCGCCAGGGATCCCGGGGTCCAGAGCGGATCCAAGAAATCCGCGCGGAGCGCCAAAAGTTTATGTTTATGTGGTTCTTTCTTCTTCTAATTGAGAAACCTCCCCCCGAAAAGCTGGGCCAGCGTGTCGTAGTTAATGACCGAGCACGTTCGCCCCTCAAGCGTGAACGGCAGAAGTTGGCCCAGACTCCTGCTGAGAAGAACTGTCCAAGAAGCTGGCTCAGATGACGAAGATGGAAACGAGGGTGAGGAGGAGCAGGAGGAGGAGGAGGAGGAGGAGGAGGAGGAGGAGGAGGAGGAGGAGGAGGAGGGAGGAGGAGAGAGAGGAGAGGAGGAGGAGGAGGAGGAGGAGGAGGAGGAGGAGGAGGAGGAGGGAGAGGAGGAGGAGGAGGAGGAGGAGAGCAGGAGGGGGAGGAGGAGGAGGAGGAAGGAGGAGGAGGAGGAGGAGGAGGAGGAGGAGGAGGAGGAGGGCCCGTGGGGCGGAGTCGTATCTGACCCCCCATCCCCCACCCCCCCCCCCCCACCCCACCCCCCTCGGGCCGCCACCCCCCCGACGGGGGAGGGATCAAAGGGAAGGGGCTTCCCTTTGACGTGGTTGCGACGTGGGTCGATTTCCCTCAAGGCCGCTAGAGCACTGCAACGACGACGGCGAGGACGACGACGACGACGACGACGACGACGACGACGACGACGACGACGACGACGACGAGGACGAACAACCCCTCACACACGCCGACACAGGGTCGGCGGGTTTTCGGCCGTGAGCGCTGGGAGGTCCGCGCCCATCCAGGGCGTCCGCGCGAACCTCCCGAAGTGTTCGGTGGGTGCGCCAAACAAGAGACGTGCCTCTCGACGGGCGCCCCACGAGAATGCCGCGTCTCTCGAGAGGCCCGCAGGGGCCCGGGGCAGTTTGCGAAGCTCGGGGTCGATGAAGGAAGGGCCCCTTCCTCACGTCAGGCTTTCCTACTGTGTTCCGAGACGTCCGACGCCGTGCTGCCTGTCCCAGCGTGGCTCCCCAGAGGCCCGGACCTCTTCCCAGGGGCCCGTTCTTCTCCCCGAGTCGCTCTAGGACGGTCCCAGGTCCTGGCGAGTGTCCCCAGAGGTTGACACTGCATACACAAAACAGTAAGCAACGTCATACACATGTAGACACGCATCGTTACAACAGTACGCACACAAAAAGTGTTATACAAACAACGAGAGCAACAATCAGTTTAATAGTGGTCGCTCTTATCTGCCCGCGTACCTGTCATCACGTATGTCTCAGACCCTCAGTGCCTGCCCTCTTCGTCTTCGATCGTAGCAGCCCATTGAACAGGGGATGAGAGGGCAGAGGAATGGAGCACGAGAGAGATTAGCAGGAGAGGGGGCTAGGAGCAGAAAGCACGTGGCAGAACTAGACATGCAAGTCGGGCGGGTAGACCCTAACGGGCTTGTCGGGAAGGCCGGCCCAGGCGGCCAGGTCGAAAATGCGGGTTGCTAAAGTGTGAGTCATGCATGCATGCATGCATCGCGAGAAAGTATGGAGCGATTGCGCGATTCTCAAGTAAATCGTGAGAAAGGCCCGAGCGAGAGCGTGATTTCTAAGTGTCGAGGGCGCGGCGTTTGAATACATTTCAATGGCAATCCCACGCGAGAGCGCGATCCCTGCATAGATTGTGCGAGAGCGCAATTTCAAAATTATCCCAGAGCGACCCTACCTAGGAGTTGGAGCCCCTAGGAGAGCAATATTAGTAGTAACGGTAAGCGCCGTCCTCCTCCTTCTCCTCATCGTCGCAGTTGTAGCAGTAGCGGTAGTAGTAGTGTTATGCTATGCTATGCTATCCTGCGCTATGCTATGCTATGCTATGCTGGGCTATGCTATGCTATGCTAGGCTATTATATGGCATTATATGCTGCGCTATGCTATGCTATGCTATGCTATGCTATGTTGCGTTGTGAAATGATATGTTATGTTATGCTGTGCTGTGCTGTGCTATGCAATGCTATGCTGCGCTGTGCTATGCTAAGCAATGCTATGTTATGCTATGCGATGCAATGCTATGATATGCTATGCGATGCTATGCAGAGCTATGCTATGCTGTGCTATGCTATGCTATGATTGGCGATGTTATGCTAGGCTATGCTGTGCTCATGCTGCGCTAAGTTAAGCTAAGCTAAACTAAGCTAAGGTATGTTAAGCTAAGCTAAGCTAAGCTAATCTAAGCTAGGCTAGGCGAAGCTAAGCTAAGCTAAACTAAGCTAAGCTAAGCTAAGTCATGCTAAACTAAGCTAAGCCAAGCTCAGCTAAGCTAAGCTAAGCTGGGCTAGGCTACGCTTAGCTAAGCTAGGCTAGGCAAAGCTAAGCTAAGCTAAGCTAAGCTAAGATGAGATAAGCTAAGCTAAGCCAAGCTAAGCTTAGCTAAGCTAAGCTAAGCTGGGTGAACCCAGGG